ACACCCCTCACACGTTTCGTGGCCCCATAGGGAGCCCCACCGAAGGCCCCAGTGCTGCCGCCCGCATGCGCCCCGCACGCCCAATTCGGCACACCCCTCACACGTTTCGTGGCCCCATAGGGAGCCCCGCCGAAGGCCCCATTGCTGCCGCCCGCATGCGTCCCGCACACCCAATTCGGCACACCCCTCACACGTTTCGTGGCCCCATAGGGAGCCCCTCCGAAGGCACCAGTGCTGCCGCCCGCATGCGTCCCGCACACCCAATTCGGCACACCCCTCACACGTTTCGTGGCCCCATAGGGAGCCCCACCGAAGGCCCCAGTGTTGCCGCCCGCATGCGTCCCGCACACCCAATTCGGCACACCCCTCACACGTTTCGTGGCCCCATAGGGAGCTCCACCGAAGGCCCCAGTGCTGCCGCCCGCATGCGTCCCCTACACCCATTTCGGCACACCCCTCACACGTTTCGTGTCCCCATAGGGAGCTCCACCGAAGGCCCCGGTGCTGCCGCCCAGCGTTTGCGTCTCCCCACCACCAATTTCGGGCACACCCCTCACACGTTTTCGTTTGGCCCCGTAGCGGAAAGCTCCACCGAACGGCTCCAGTGCTGCCGCCCGCATTTTGGGGGCCCACCGAGGACCAATTTCGGCACACCCCTCACACGTTTCGTGGCCCCAGGAGGGAGCTCCACCGAAGGCCCCAGTGCTGCCGCCCGCATGCGTCACGCACACCCAATTCGGCACACCCCTCACACGTTTCGTGGCCCCATAGGGAGCTCCACCGAAGGTCCCAGTGGCGGCGCTCACATGCGCATGCGTCCCGCGCACCCATTCCGGCACATCCTTCGCAGGTTGCAGGGCGCACGCGTGCGTGATTTGGCACGGCGGCGGCGTATTTGCGAACATGTTTCGTTTCTTTGCATGCAGATTCTTGAGCACAGAGGACAGCGTAATGGAGGATGAAGGGATACATGCTCGCTGGAAGTGGATATGTTTTACTTGTCGCCGAATTGGACTGCCAGCTTTAAATGCAATATTGAAGTTGACAGTTCACTTGGAATCTTATGGTTCGTTCCCGCCACACGCTGCGCTGTACGAGCATCCAGGTGCCTGTGGCAAGCCCCGCCGCCATGCCATGAATGTAGGGGCGCTGTCGGCGACGTCTTGAGTGTTGGCGCGCGTAGCTTCATGGGCTTTGCGTGGGCCTCGCTTGGGCAGTTGTGGGGACGTCCTGGGCGATTGGCGGGGGTGGGGAAGGGGGTTCGGGGTGCTTGGGGCCATCTATCATTGGCAGTCTCACAGGTGAGAGGGCGGATCCCCACCATGAGCTCACAATGGGGCCACTGGAGTTTGCACCTGGGGGATTTCCTGTATTCCATCTCGGAGCACTCTTGAGCAGCCTGGGGCCTCTTCGGGTGCTTTGCGGGCCTGGCTGGGTCGTCTCGGAAGAACCCTCTTAAACCTATACGGGCGCTTTGTCGGCCTGGCTGGGCCGCCTCGGAAGCCATTTGGGCACGCCCCCACGCGCCGCGAGGGCGCGTCGGCGGATTTTGTTACCCTTCGGGCCGCGAGAGAAGCGATGATCAGTGAGTTGCGCGAGTCTGGTACCATCGCAGCGGGGCATCGGTCGAACTGGGAGTACCAAGACCGATTCAACTTGTCTTCTATTGATGTCGACTTGCTGAGGCAACAACTGGGTTCAGCGCCGACGTTGCCGCAGACGCCCGAGGTTGCTTGGGGGCAGTACGTGCGCTTCATGTTGCAGCCTGGCATCATGTACCAATGCGCCAAGCTACGCCAAGTGTAGTTTTTGGTGGTAGAAAATAAGTCGTTGCCTGGTAGAGACATGCCTGGCCAAGGCGAAGCCTTGGCGAGGTCTTTAGTCGTTGCGTTCTTCGAGCTGGCCCACGCTGAGGACGGCATACTAGTGCGGCCATGCGAGGGCCAACTTGGGGAGCTCAAAGTTTAAACCAGAACCATTGCCGAGATCTCGACCGCGTGCGGGTATCATCCTGCTCTCGGGGCGGAGGCTACAGCTCGCGAGGTGGAGTTGAAACACGAAGCAGAGTGGTTGAATCACGATATCGTTCAGTTTAAGACCGTTCGCGTGGGCACGTTCGGCAACCCTTGGAGTTTCACGTTGAGCGACTGTGCCCCATGCAGAGGATGAGTACATTATGCGCACCGCTGTGGACGATTGTGCGAAAATGGACCTGGCGCGCCAGATTCAGCTGAGGGACGGCCTCAGCAACGCCAGGCGGTCAGAGCTCTGGGGTTTAACGAGGGCTGCCTTGCTAGACATCCTCGCAGACGGTGCTGCCATCGGCGGCGGCGGCGGCGGTGTCGCCCCGCCCGCGCCGCCGGCAGCGCGCGGCCGCGGTGGCCGCGGGCGCGGCAGAGCTGGCCCAGCCCCAGCCCCAGCCCGAGGCAGGGCCAGAGGCGGCCGAGCAGGCGGCCGCAGAGGCAGGGGCTAGGCGGTCGGAGGCCCCCCAACGCACACGAAAAATTGCAACTCCTCCTCCCCCCTCGTCCCCCACCTCCTCTTCCCCCTCCTCCCCCTCCTCCCCTCCCCCTCCTCCGCGTCCTCCTCCTCCTCCTCCTGCCACCCCTCCTCCTCCTCCCCCTGCCCTCCCTTCTCCTTCTCATGCTTCCGACCCTCCACCCTTTCCCAATGTCATCATCATTATCCCCCGCCCCCGCCGACCGCGGCGACGACGTCGGCGGCGGCGACGGCGGCGGAAGCTGCGCCCGCAAAGACCCGCCAAGCGGGGGCCGCGCCCCCCCACTTGTCGGGCGTGGAACAAGCTTGATCCTTTATGCCATGGTATGTTATGGCGTGCTGTGGGGTATGTCATGCTCTGTATTGTCATATGTCGCGTGATGGGAGGTTACGGCCTGCCTTGCCAGGTGAAGAAACGCACGTAACAACTAACGACAACCCAAACCCACGCGTAGCTAACTATATTAGCAGACGTCATGCCTCGGACCTGGCGCAAACACCACGTGCATAACAACACTGCGGTCTCTACTGTCTCACTTGCAATCACCGCCATCAGCATCACCATCACCATCGCCAGCATCATCGCACTGCTTGGCTGACATGCACGCCGACCCCCACCCGCCCCCCCCCTCCCCCCCGCCAACCAACAGACGCCACCAAACGTAATTGTCAGCATTGTTCGCCCGCCGCGGGGAAGAACCCGTGCTGACGCAGCCGCGCTTAAGGCGCGGCTGCGGGCAAGCAAGAACGCCTCACGTGGAGGCGGAGGTTGGGTTCGACATCGGCGGATGCCGAACCCGTCGGTCTCCGCCACAAGCGTGACCTCCTCCATCGGAAGGTCCCCGTGACTGCGTGCCGTCGCCGATGCCGAGACCGTCCCGTCGGTGCCAATTCTCGCCACTGGCGTGGCCGCCCCCATCGTAAGGTCCTATGGCTGCGCGCGGCCGCCGATGCCGAGCCCGTCGGCGTCAATTCCCGCCGCGGGCGTGGCCCCATCCATCGGATGGCCCTCTGAAGGCGCGCCGTCCGACGGCGCGCAACCAATGAAGCTTCCGATGGGGGGGGGGGGGTCGCCGCGCCCGTGGTGGGAACCGACGAGTTCGGCATCGGCGATGGGGCTGAACCGAAAGACATCTCGACTCAGGATGCCGCGGCGAGACACGACGGGCTCGGCATCGGCGGCAGCGTTGAGCCAGAGGTCCTCTCGACGGAGGATGCCGCGCTTGTGGCGGGGACCGACGGGGGCGTGTTTGGACGAGTGAAGTGGGGGGTGGGGTGGGGTGGTGTGTGTGTGTGTGTGCGTGTGTGTGTGCGTGTGTGTGTGTGCGTGTGTGTGTGTGGGGGGGGGGGGGCGTGGATGGGGGGGGGAAGGGGCGAGTGCGCGTGCGCGCATGTGTGTGTGTGTGTGTGTGTGTGTGTGTGTGTGCGTGCGGTGGTCGTGGTGGTCGTGGTGGTCGTGGAGGTGGTGGTGATAGTGGTGGTGGAGGTTGTGGTGGTGGTTCTTGCGGTGGCGATGGTGGTGGCGACGTGTGTGTGCGCGCGTGTGCGCGGGCGCGCGTGGCTGCGTGGTGTGTGTGTGTGGGCGTGCGTGTGTGTGTGTGTGTGTGTGTGTGTGTGTGTGTGTGTGTGTGTGTGTGTGTGTGTGTGTGTGTGTGTGCGCGTGCGTGCGCGCGGGGGGGGGGGGGCTGGGAGGGCGAGAGAGAGAGAGAGAGAGAGAGAGAGAAAGAGCGAGAGAGAGGGAGGCACGTGCAGCTGGGCACGCATAAACTTTGTTGCGCGAGCTGCTGCACATGTGGCAGCCAGGGGATTCGAATCCCGCGCGCACAGACCACATGAATCTGAGTGTATAACATTAGCTGCTCAGGTGCATTGTCCTGGGTGGTCAGCGCGAGCCTGCAATCATTTGAGCGATGCGTTGGTTCTTCCTCCCGCCATGGCTACCTCAAAGGCACTGGCAATGGGCGAAAGAAACCCGCGTCGCGCCCCGCCTTTCACGCGCCGTGTATTCATCGCGGGTGTCGCGCCAGCACTGCTTGCCGCATCGCTGGCGGGCGCGCACCACGACGCAATGCCGTTGAAGTAATCGCCATTGACGGCGCTTTGCTTCGACCGATAGCTGTTGTCGATGGGGCGGCCCCGCCAACTCTTGCGAGGCCCCGTGGTTGCGCGGTCGCTGCTGTGCGCTTTGTGTCGCCGACTTACCGTCGCGGGCACCAGGGCCATGATGGGGTTGGTGGTGGGGTTGGTTGGTGGGGGGTGGGGTGGGGTGGTGGTTGTGGCGGTGGTGGAGGTGGTGAGGGAGGTGGTGGTGGTGATGCTGGTGCTGGTGTGAGTGCGTGCGTGCGTGCGTGCGTGCGTGCGTGCGTGCGTGCGTGCGTGCGTGCGTGCGTGCGTGCGTGCGTGTGTGTGTGTGTGTGTGTGCGCGCGTGTCGCGTGTGTGTGTGTTTGTGTGTGTGTGTGTGTCTGTGTGTGCGTGTGCGTGCCTGCGTCGTGGTGGAAGT